GTGTATAAAATAAGGTATGTTATCAAAGAGCATAGCTTTTCAGAGGAGAACATTAGATTGGGTTTTGACTGTTGATTATTCGGGAACTAGAGGCTTTCAAGACATTAAGGTTTACAGGAACATTTTATCAGGCCCCCTTTTAACAGTGTGGTGCAGGACACATACAACACAGACATTCATCTCAACAAATGTTGACTTCTGGTAGGGGTGTTATCTGCAAATGCTGTTCATTCACCTCCATTAGTATACACAGCGTTTTGACTATTATATACACTATAAAGAAAATACAAGCAACAAAAAAAAAATTTTGAAATCTGTCAGCTGTATACAGACGGATATAGTCCTTTTAATGTGTTTACTCTTCCCATCTTGTTTGACTCAAAAAAGTTAATTTTCTGCAAAAATGTACCATTTGCATCTGTTCATCAATTTTTTTTTTCAGATGGAAGCTTTAAAATGTATTATACAATCCAATTTTTCAGCTGAGGTTTTCAATACCTTTATGAAAAGGACCATTTTGCAGTAGGCCTGGTTTCTTTTTAATGACTTAGTAGTGTGATTTTGGGCCTTCATTTTCAGAATAATTTAGACTGATAATTAATCTGAGTTCCACTGATATGTCTTAAATTCCTTCTGAAGAGGTAGGCCATGGCTTTTCTGTGCCCTTGACTGTCACCAATAAAGAAAGGATGATAACTCTTTTTTGCCTCTTAGATGAAAGTTAGGTTTGTAGTGTGCTGAGCAACTATGACTACTATAGCCAAAAATGATAAAGGTAGTACATAAAATCTCCTGGTTAAATCCTTCACGTCTTTTCAGACAGCTCACAGAAAGAAGCTAAGCTTCCAATATTCAGATTTTGCTCTGAATGAAGTGGAAAACATGACCTTTATTAAGTGTCAAAATCCTTTGTGTTCCTGTGAGTATGCTTTTATGCTATAAGTAGTGAACATCCAGTAACAGCCGTGGTAAAGGGCAATGATATTGTCTGGTTTGTACCTAGGTTCATTTTCATGTGCTCATTTGGATTACAAATGTCAGAGTCTGCTACTGCAAAAATTAAATTAATATGAATTACTGTATCTCTGTTCCTTGGTATACCGCATTCCTTTCCCTTGTCCTTAAGCAGGCATTTTTCACTAATCTCACAACTGTTTAATATTCACCGTAATACTGTGTTAATTGTCTCTTTGCTGAAAGACAGATTAAGAAAGGGTTTTTTGGCTGGTAAAACAGAGTAGTAGTGAGTCTTGCCACAATCAAAATCTACATAAAAATCAGTACCTTACATAATCAGCATGCTGGGAGTATCATTTTATGTCTCTTATACTGTTCTATACTTTATTATAATTTACTATTTTACAGAAGATTCTACAGGGTTTTAGTGTAGAACAGGACCATAGACTTTGAATAGGTGTTTTGGGATTTGATTTAGTTTTTTGGGGGAAGTTGGTTTTGTTTGTTGTTTTATTTTTGATATGTTTAAAAGGATAATATTTAGACAAAAATTTAGAATGTGGCCTCTTTGTGTGATTTCAGGAACTTCCATGTCTGACTCCCTAATATATTTCCATTTAGGGAGTCAGACATGGAAGTCCCTGAAATATATTTGTATATATTTGTGTGTCGATAATAAAGCCCTGCATTAAGTTCTCATTAGTCTTTCGCCCTTTGAAAAATCCATACACTATATGTACAACTGTAGTCCATTGAACATAGCTCATTTTTTGAATTAAAAATGTTTGTAGTATATATGATTTCAGGAGATAGTTCTTTCATTGATCCTATCATCATTTTAGTCTCGTACTGAACAACTCTTTCCAATAGCAGCTTTTACAAACTGGCTGCACATTGGTTTATGCTTTTGCCCGTTGGTGTTGAACACAACTAGTAGAGTGGGAGATACAATTCTGAGTATCTATGCATTGTTTATCATGATTGGCATATTGATTTGAAAGACTTCTGTAAGTGGGAGAAGGAGATATAATTGAAGTTCAAACTATGTAAAGTTATTGCAGGAGGAAAGTTGGTAGGGTCAGTGGTTGTAAGGCCTCAGCCCAAGCTCTCAATATGGAAAGGCTAACAGTATTCATTAGCCAATGCTAAGATAACCAAACATCCTAAACACTGTGGCATTTCACATGTAATGTGGGAAGTACTGTCTATCATGCAACCTATATATATGTACAACAGTTCCCCACATTTTCATGGAAAAGTGGCTATGGCTCATGCAAAGTTTGTGCACAATGGACTCGTTGTACATCCAACATAGCCCTATGTGCATGGTTCTGCTCTCCCAGACTATGGATGCCCCCAGCGGCAGTGTACTGCCTGGAGACTCCAAGGTGCTTGTGGCAGCACTAAGTGCTTTCTGTTCTTCAAGTTAAGATTCATGGTGATCTTTTTGTCATTTCCATATTTTCCTATTTTATTTTTTCTTATCAATAGGATTTTTTTATAGTAGAACTACTCAGAGAAAATTTGGAATCCTGAGATAGTCCCTTGTGATTAGAGGAAAATGAGATTTTTAAAACATTAACTTTGCAGTATGCAACATTCTATTTCCCTTTTACTGTTTTATGTCTTGCATAACAAAACTACCACCTCTTCATCTTGGCTCCTTTAGTTTAGAAAAATCAAAAATGTCAGGCTTGATCTTCTCTCTTTGTTGCTGGAGGATTACTTCTTGGAGAGGAAAGCTGTCTCAAGAGATAGGTATATTGATTTCAATCCCTTTAGAAATAGGGGTTGAACCTGTAGCATTTTAAAGTCTTATTTTATTTATTTCATGAGATATCCATATAAGGATTAACTTTACAGGCGGTGTTAAGAACTAGTTTATATGCCCTTTGCATTTAAATGTTTGTATGCTCATTTATAATGGTGCTTTATTTTTTTAAAAGGAAACAATTAATATTCATATAACTAGGCTATTTTTAAATTTAACCTTCATTTTCCGTGGACAGTACGCTTACAGCTCTCTTTCTATGATCCCAGCTTTTAACAGAGAAATACAGAAATTGTCTTTTTTATCTGTGTATCATTCAGCTCATTTCAGAGACTAAGAATAATTTTAGCCTGCACATTTATTGTCTGTCATATTGCGTTCCAGTTGTGGCAGTGTCTGGATGATTCAACTAACCTGTGATTAGCGTTATCATAAAAATAACCAACTGGTCGTGCAAGTTGACCGAGTTTTAAGATGTCATCTTAACTTTCCTGTTCCTCCTATAGGTGTCCATGTCCGGTTGCGTGGCCAGGTGTAAGAGTGCCCTCTCCTGGGTGGAACAGGGCAGTTTGCCTTGCTCGGCTGAGACGGATCTCTCCATTGGGAGGCTTTCCTTGCCTTACAAATAGCTTGAGGTACTGTGACTGCTTTGTCCAGCCGTACCTATAGAGTTGTTGATGAAGAACTTGTAGGAGTTATGTAGGCAGAAATGCCAAAACCAGTAGAACAGAAATTGTTCAGTGTTCAGGAAGAGAGAGGAGGTATTCACTTGAGATGCCTGCACTTACCAAATTATACTTTTCATGGTGTTAGCAGATGAAATATATAAGCATAAAAGGCAGTAAGGATTCTAACTAAATATTAGTGTGATGTGAAGTCACGCAGGTTGCATTCAAATGATGCAATTCATCTGAATTAGTGAAGTTACATCAGACATCAATCTATAGCATAGCAAAGTTTGCATTAAATAATGAATGGGCAGAATTTTTTTGTAGTTTAATAACACCCTATTGTCTTTCACTTGTTAAGGGCTGTTATTAGAAATTGACAGGACACCTGGACTTTTCATTAAAGTCATTATTGGTCTGCCAATATCTTCTAAATTAGTGTTATATCTGAACATGATGTTTCTAGTAGGAAAACCTAGATACAAAGACACCTGATGCTTTTGAGCCTGTTAGCAAAATTACTGGGGTTTTAAGCTTCCACTTTTTGTGGAGGAGTGATTTTCAGCTGATGGTACATACACCTTGGGGGTCCATGGGCCAATTCTTGTGGCTTTATGAAGAAACAAAAAATAAGGGGGGGGGGGGGGGGGAATTAGGTTCAGCTGTGACATAGTTCTTGTAATTTTGCAGGAGCTCCCAGCTTGATTAATATTCTTAATGATCAGGCATCTACCTTGCAAATTCGGCAGCCAAAGACTGACAAGTTGATTACAGGGAACTAGAAGCACTTCTTATAAAATGTGATCCTTTCTTTCTATTACAAAAAGAAGATAGCAGTCTTTCTGAGGATCCTTTAATAATGAAAGTAAGCTGTGAATACAGAAGTAGATTTCACAACCCAACATGGCTTTATTAGTAGTTTTATGAATACTAGACTTTTAAGGGAAGAGAGGATTTAACCAATGTTATAAAGAACTTAGTCACCATGCTATGTTGCTGGTATATTGTTGTCCACTCAAAAAACATTTTCTACCTGGAGTGAAGAATTTGTACTATTTTAAGTATTTTGTGTTATCATATTAATGTAATAACTTTTAGTAGGTTATCAAATCTGTGTACCTTTGTTTAATTAAATATTGTGATCTTTCTTTCACAGAAAGGTACAAAAGGGAGTTAGAGCTGCCTTAAAAGGCCAGCTGGACAGCTTTTCCTGGCCCACGACATTATCTTCTTCTCATGGCCGTAGGATTTGTGACTGAATAACAACTGCTATTTTAATGACTACAGGGGCTAAAATCAGATCCAGACTGATACTCAGTAAAGACTCCATTTATAAAAGTCATCAGGATTGAAGTATATCAGACTTTTTAGCTAGAAACTTAAATTTGTTGTTGAGTGTAGTGGTAGCCAGGGAAAGTGCCTAAAGCAGCAAGTAAGAGAGAAGATAAAATGGCATTGATATTTTGAAGTGATTGTTTGAGGTGTAGAGTTAGAGACTCTCATTAGGAGATTTGAGTTTGGAACTGGAACAGCAAAAAATTGTGAAGCAGTAATTGAATGAATACTGGAATCCAGAGTAAATGAAAAATAAATCCACTTTCTTTGGTAGTGGTCTTTATTGCTAAAATATGTTAATATTCCTAACAATGCAGATTAGCTGACTGCTGGGAAGTTCACTGTATAAAGAGGTCCAACTGCCAGATATATCAAATTTTTGTCTCTGGGATGGTTCCACCTGGCTTTCTGTATTTTCCTGGCTTCGAGCAGATAGGCAACACTTGTTCAGGGAGTTTGTGTTGCAAACTGATCTGCATCATTGCTTTGTCTTCTCAGGAGAAAAGGATAAGAGTGGACACCTTTCCTCTTAACATACATAACTAGAGACATACAGCCATCAACACAGGCTGCAGTGATGGATTATGTTTCTGCAGGCAATAGTCTTATGAATAATCTTATGAGTGGTCTCACCTCAAAAAAGTTTCCAGCTGTAAGAGAATATGCATTAAAGATGTATGAATAACCACAGTATAATACAAGAATATGTGCAGTAAAATCAGAAAACTACTACAAGCCAAGCCACAGAAACAACATACTCCAGTATACTTTGCATATCAATTGTTAAGAATTCCTTCAATGGTCTCTCTGTTTTGCAAAGCACAGGACTTTTTAAGGATCCTGAAAGGTAGGACTAATAATAAAAAAGCAATCTGGAGCTCTTGAATTCAGTTAATATTTCTTGATCCAGCAATTTTTGATTCTGAGGTTTTTCGAAAATTTTATCTAGAATTTGAACTTACTTCTAATGGTGGCCATTTTGCTAAACTACAGTATAATCTGTTATGATAGGCACCAAATCCACAACTGATGGAAGTCTTTTGGAACTGTCTACAACAAAAATTTACAAAATAGTGAAGTTTGTCAGAGATCATCTAGAAAAAGCTCAGCTGTGACAGATGGGTAATTTATGAGGCTCTGTTGCAGATATGTTGATACCATCCTAAAATAGCTGCATTTTGGAGACTAGAACAATTTTTCATTAGGAAAAAAACCCAAGTTTTTCTATTAATCTCACTACAGTAGAATAATCATTTAGAGTTAGAGCCTTAAGTCTAAATCGCTAGTTAGTGTTTGCACCACAGTTCTGTAAAAAAGTTAATTGAACAGGACTTCAAACCATAGAAACCAGTAAAGATCAACTTAAGAATAGAACCCAGGACAATCTGATTTGTTGTTTTCCTAACCTGATTGTCTGCAATTTGTCCACGTGGCTAGCAAGAACACTGCACCTGGCAATTTATTAGAGAACATTGAGAATAAAGTCAGGTTAAACAAACAAGGCTCAAATAGTGTCTGGTACTGAGTAATGTATAGTTTCCCTGAACACAGCAGATACAAGCCATTTCTCTCATCTGTGAATTTCTGCCAGGCATGCAATGTTTCACAGAGCAGTATCTAGAAAATCCCTACTATTCTGTGTCTGTTTTTTCAGTAATAGCATATGCCTTTGTTTAGGTGGAAGATCTAGTTTAGATGTAAAGAGTTTCTTGTCGTGAACATTTTTCTCAAACGAAGGGTAGCAATTATAGCAGTTTCATTGAAGTATAATCCATCTCATAAAATTCCCTGTTACAGCTTTTTCATCTTTCTGGCAGTGCAAAAAGATCACATGGTAAATTGGAATGAGCTTTAAAGGCAGTATTCTAGACTATCTTTCTTTCCCCAAATGGGTTAATTGTACTGGAAAGTATTCAGTCATGCTGTATGCTTGCCTCTTGACTTTGCAGATTCTAACCCTTAGTGATGCCTTGAGAAGGCTGACCTAGAACAGAGGCTAGACAGAGTTAAAGAATAAAGTAGGAATTTATTAAAAGGCCTCAATGGATACACCTTGGGCAGTTTAAGAGCCTGGCCAGGACTACACACAAGACTTGTCATGAAGTCTCTCACTTTTATAAGTTTTGGTCCATTTGCATATTGGAGTTAATTGTCTAATTAGAGCTTTAGGTTATGAAGTTCTATCTTCCTTGTTTTCTCTCTTCAGTCCACTGTTGTTTATATTTTTTGGGCCTGGAACAGTTGTCCTTGGACAGACTGGAAAAGGATTTTTTTGTCTACCTACCCTGTGAAGAGAACTTGCTAACACTTAATGTGAAGCGCAGAGTTACACACTAAAGCAGCACAGAATCTGAAAAATACAGAAGCTAAAACTTAAGGCATCATTAGTTCTAGGAATATTGTAATATCGCGCTGTTGGTCCTTTCCCAAACACAGAAAAGACATAAAAAATATTAACTCTCTCAGCAGACTTATTTATAGATGCCATACTATCCCTGTATCTAAATATCACTCATTCCAAATAATGTTACTCCCACAGAAATTCCAGTGGAAGTGCTTTGCAGGTGTATCTACTCCTGGGTTCCCGCTTGAGTGGCACAGTATCACAGAATCACAGCAGGGTCAAGGTTGGAAGGGACCTCTTGAGACCATCTAGACCACCCTTCCTGTCAAAGCAGGGTCAGCCGGAGCAAGCTGCCTTGCCAAAACCATGTCCATTTGACTATCTCTATAATTATGAGACACCACAACCCTTCCGGGCAACTGCTACCAATGTTCAGTTAGCCTCAGAAAAAAGAAGTGTTTTCTTATATTTAGCTCTTGTCCTGTCACTGGGCACCATTGTGAGAGGACTGGCTACCTCAGTATTTTCTCTACAAGGAGTTGGGCTATTGCTATAATATAGCTTTGGCTTCCAATCTTTCCATGCTTTATTTTTTCAGTAATTATCTTCAGTTTTAGAGGTGTCATCTATGTTTAATGATTACCTTAGTAGCTTAACAAAAGGTAACCACAAGAACCTGTTTAAACACCAGAAATGTAAATTCATACTTTCAAACACCCAAAAGGTTTCCATCAATCTGTGTGGTGTTTTCGCAAAATTTATGAACTGTGAAGTGTGAGTTGAATTGAATTATATAATGGTTTGGGTTGAAAAGTACCTTAAAGATCACCTACTTCCAACCCCCTGCCATGGATGACACCTTCCACTAGACCAGGTTACTCAGGGCCCTATTCAACCTGGCCTTGAGCATTTCCAGGGATGTGGCAGCCACACCTTCTCTGGGCAACCTCTTCCAGTGCCTCACCATCCTCACAGTAAAAGATTTCATCCTAATAAACCCATTGTTAAAAGTATCTCCAGCCTTCTTTTACCATTTTAGGTACTGAAAGGACACAATCAAGTCTCCCAGAGCCTCAGCTCCCATCTGTTCCTCATAGGAGAGGTGCTCCATCCTTCTGCTCATCTTTGTGGCTTTCCTGTGGACTCATTACAAGGAGGACTCATGTCCTTCTGTTGCGAGACCCAAAGCTGGATACAGTACTCCAGGTGGGGTCTCCCAAGAGCACAGTAGAGGGGATGAATCATGTCCCTTGACCTACAGACCGCACTTTTGATGCAGCCCAGGATACAACTGGCTTTCTGGGCTCCAAGTGCACATCATGGATCACGTCCAGCCTCTCATCCACCAGCACTTCCAAGTCCTCCTCAGCAGGGCTGCTCTCAATCCATTCTCCTCACAGCCCGTATTTGTCCTTGGGATTGCCTTAACCCATGTTGAGTTGGACTTGTTGAACTTCATGAGGTTCACATAGACCCACCTCTCAAGTCTCTCAAGGTCCGTCAGGATGACATCCTTTGTTCACACCACTCAGCATGGTGTTGTCAGCAAACTTGCTGAGGGTACACTACAGAAGAATTCTTTTTTCCTGACCAGTGTTGTCAAGTTCTATAAAGTCAATTTTTCTTTCTTACACTATACCACTTGTAGGGTTTACAGCTCCTCTTCAAAAGGTTTGACATACTACAGCAAACATCCAGCTGCATCATACCACATTGTCAAACAAAATTTGCTCAAAAGCAAATGTGCACAAGTTAAAACCCTTGCATTATGTCTATAGAAATCTTGCCTAGCTGAGAGAGCAGTCATTTATTGTACACTTGTCAATACTCATGTTCTAATATCCAAAGTAAAAAGTATGGTTGAATGTGCTACAGAAACCAGAGTATCACTTACAGTGATAGCAGATCAGATTTTTTCCAGTAATGTGATTTAGTTCTTTGTAGTCCATTTAGTTCTTTGTAGTCCATAAAATGCTGCCACATTTTATGTGATAGAATACTGATCTTCAAGTGCTGACTGGCAGAGTTACGCCTTTTGATATACCTCCTCAGTGACACAGGACATGTCTTCTCTTCTTGTCATATCTTTTTTATTAGTAAATAATGCCTTGGCTTTTTAATGGATGGTACTCTTAAATTTCAATCATATACCAAGTGCTTAATACTAACTGCAAACTGCATATATCCATTTCAGATCAGAGTAATTTTCAGTTCATGACCAGAAAATTTTAAATCATTGCTGCTTCTTAGTTATATGTAGTAAAGTGTTTTTAAAAATCCTTCGGGATTTTGTTTTAATTTTCTCTTCTCACTTCTGCACCTAATATCAAATCTGCTTGCTTGCATTTTAGCTTGTGGTTTGTCTATCAGATATGGCTTCTTCTATTAGGCATTCACTTGGAAATGAACAGGGATTCATTTTTATTTCAAGTCTGTGAGAACTGCAACAGTTGAGGGCTCTGACTCATGTTCAGAGGCATTTTGAGACTAAATGCTGAAATGGCTCTGAACATAGCAGGTGACATGAGATGCGTTTTTCCCAAGTGGCAGCAGTTTTCAGATGAATATAGCAACGTTAGCTGCTGGTAATTTTATGGCTGCAGATAGCTTATGTGAACTACATTTGCTTATGAAGCAGTTCACTCTGTTTCTCATCTTTTCTTTGCAAGAAAGCCACCACAGTTGAGCAGCTGCTGTTATGATTTCTGCTCCAGAGGAAAAACAAATTTTTGAGGTTATAGCAGTGTTGGTTCACTTAGACCACATTTTTAGAAGGGATTGCCCAAAGCAATTGCAAAATAATGCTCCCGATACTGATTGGATAATTATCAATGAAATTTAGTGGACTATTAGCTTATGTGGTTACTGAGAACATACTATTCTAATACTATAGAACCATTTCAGCCTAATTCAGATGGGATATCTTTACCAGTGAGTGTTATCATTAACAATTTGGTGACTCAGGACTTAATCCTCTATTTTTAAATTGCTTTTTGCAAGCCTAACCTTGTAAGCATCCCAACTGGCCTGCTTGCATTTCATAGTTACTCTAAATAACTAGTCATTATTCTAGTTAAGTGTAAAATAATCCTTGTCATCCCCTCAACTTCAGATTTCCTTCATCCATTTCATAGTTTGGAAAGCTTCACTGCACAGCTGTGGTCTGGCAGCAATGCCATTGCAGCAATCCTTTGTGGTCATTTTCCCTAGATTGTGGCTAATTGATCCCAAAAGTCTGTGTTGGTGTGTTGATGCTTCAGGAGCTCAAACGATCCTCCATAGATCCTCTGACAATTTCACTGGAGTTTCTTGTTTCCACTGTGCCATATTTTTTCTGTGAGTTCTGGTGATTGCGGTTGAGTGTTTGTTAAGTTTAGACCTGCACATTGACAGAAAATCTGACAGTAAAAATTTGGTTCAGTGGTGATTACATGAGTAAATATCAGTAAAATTAACCTAAATACACAATATAGCCTTTGTGCCAGCCAATTCACAGGCTTGCTGCCTAGTGTCCCAAAGTGCTTTTCAATTCTCCAGAGCTTTGTGAGATGCCAGCCCAGATGAATTCTAGGAATGCTTGCAGGCAACCTTTTTAAGGACTTGGCTTCTTTTTCCAAAATTAGATTTTCTTTTCCAAAAATCCCAGTGTTGCTGCCAAAAGGCCTCTCTTACCTTGATACTACAAGGTAATTTAATAATCTTTTCTTTTCTACTCCCTAGGTGCTATTTTCAGGCCATTTTGCAGACCTCTTCCAAATGGCTCTTTGGTATCAAAATTTGCAGCAGAGTTTCCTGCAGATTCCTTTTTAGAATAGTATTATCTACTTACTATGAACTGCATACAAGAAAAGAGGAAACAGACAAAAAAGGAGTTACATTAGGAGGATTTGTCCCACTTCTAGGTAATTTTTCAGATCTGATGAAACTGCATGAATTGCAGATGAACAATTTCCACTCCACAGAGTACCTGGATGTCAGCAATACAATGCCTACTGACATGACTTATGCAGCAAAGATGAAAATAACATCAGCAGAAAAAGAACTTGAGAATGGGAAAAGTAATGTTCTTGGGTGTCTGTAAACAAGTTCATTCATTATTTGGCAGGTTAGATCACCAGCATGACTCCTACTCTACCATTGCCTACTGAGGTAGAAAAATTGAAAGCTAGCACTGTGATGTGTAATGTGACACCTGCCTGTTGCTTTACAAAATGCCCAACCCACACTACTTATGTAGAGAATGTATATAACTTTTGCTCAGCTTCCACCCTCCTCAATTGTAAAGGGTTTTGGTAGAAGTAATATTACCATCCTCTGCTCTTTAATCAGAGTTGTCTTCATAGCTTTAGCTTGGCAGTGGGCAGTACAATTTCTTTTAGTGTGCCAAAATCAGTAGATTCGCTATTCTGTCCCTTTTACTACCTGATTTTGGATGCATCTCATGGCTTTGTTCCTAAAGTAGTCTACATCACTGTTTTCATCATAGTTTGATTACCAGAATGGAGACTTCATAGAATGAGTCTGAAAATAGCCTCCATATCCATATCAGGATCTTGTTTTACTGCTGAATTGTGCACTAAATTTGTGAGTGTAAAGGGGAGCAGATGGCTGAAGTCTGGGAGTAGGAAGCTGAGATAGAATCAGTGCCTGCTATGCCTTGTTCATTTGCCCGTGGAAACCAGGAGGGCCAAATTCTGAGGGATGCTTTGGCAGAATGTTTTATGTAAAATACCCAGCTAGTTTCTGCTTACCTGTATGTTCTTGCTTATTTGAAAGCAATAAGCTTATACATTGTTTCTCTTGCTCCTGGTCTCTACTTTCTGTGGTTCCTTTTGCCTGCCCCTCTTCCCTGACAGTTCATCCTCTGAAGTTTTCATACATGAGGATAACCCTTTCACAAATCCATTCTTCATTAGGCTCATCAGCGTCCCATATTTCCAAATATGTGAATGGAAACATATATGTTGAACAAAGAAAAATAATCAGGAAAACGATTGTTATTTTGCTGTCAAAAGGCAGTGCAAATAATGCAGGGTACTGGAAAAAACCCTCAGCTTTTTACTGAAACCAGGTAAGTAAAACTATTTTCAGATATGGTGAGCTTTGCAGCATACAACATGGGTTGAAAACATGAAAGTAGGGAGGTGTAGGATTTATTTCACCCAATGGGGCTGGCTGGCCAGTCAGGTAGTGCTGCTTGCACACCTCTTCAAGGCACAATTCCAAGACATTACCAGATATAATGCAAGTACCTGGATGGGGCAATGTGAGAAATGAGCCAGAAAGATATAATGTACTGAAGTCTGAGGAGGCTGCATTTGATTCAAAGTGAGGAAGACATCCCAGCTCTAGCTGTGCCACCATTGCGTACTGCTTTCTTGTAGATCACTCAGTTGTCATCACTCTCAACTCCTGCCTCTCCTATATAGACTCTTTGCAGGCTCATATTATTTCTGACAAGGCATGCTGCTGGTCCAGCTCACTTAGTCTTGTCCTTCCAGTTCTAGGATTGTTCAAATTCAGTTCTCCAAGAATGAATCACTGAGATTCTCTTATCAGTTTCAATGGTTCCTCCAAATATGCCTGCTATCATTTTAGAAGCTGCTGTTTGACATTGTCCAAGAGCTGCTTGGCAAGAAAATAGAAGTGTTCGGCATTTCTGCCTCAGCTTGGCAGAAGGAACCCTCCTCTCTGCTATTGTGCAATTGGCATCACTCTCCTCTCTTGTTTGAATCAGGACTAATGGTAAGCTGAGTCTGGTTTGGGGATTTCAGGATCTCAGATCCATTTTCTAGAACAATGGCTAGCCCTGTGTATGACGTGTGGGAGACAGATAGGCAAGACTGGTTAATGGTATTGAGAAGCTGCCTTGGCTTGTTTCAAGAGTGGCTTGTTCCTGGTGAAGGGTTAGGAGAATGGCTGAGGGAGAGCTGGAAGGAACGGTGCAGCTAACAGTTGATCATTCTTCCTATGACTACCCTCTGACACCATTGTCTAGGTTAGCTTAGTGTTTGACCAGAACAGCCAAAGTATACTTCAAGCCAAGTGTACCTTGATATTGCCAATGTTCATGGTTCCTGTTGTAGTCCAAACTCCTGAACAGGCTGTAAGGAAATCTGTTCTCCCAGGAAACATTGACGGGACATAGTTTCATACTTCCGAATTAAAGATAAGCTTTAGCATCCCTAGTGCCTTACCAGAGTCTTAGTTCCCTGGATTGAGGTAAACAAGATGATACAAGGTCTGCATAGTTTAGCTTTTTTTGTGATGGCTGGCTTTGTGTCAGTGCCTTGCCTCCCTTTTCAGTATTGCCACTGCTTAGTTGGGTGCTAAGACAAGAGAAATGACTAAAACATAGGAAAGAAGAGGCAATCTCCACAGCAAGTCGAAACTGTGTGGCATTGCTACACAAAGTCAGCCTACCTCCTGACTCTCAGAAGTGAAATGGATATGACCAGGGCCAGCCCTAACACATTAGGGCTGTTAGGGCCAGCCCTAACTGAGAAGAGTTAGGCTACCTGCATCTTTCAGAGAGAGGGCTCTGTGCACCAGCGATGGTTGGAATATAAGGCTGCCAACTGGCAGTGCATCCAAGACTTGGCGAAGTAAAATAGGCTAGACACCCAAAGCTAGGAAAAAACTTTCCGAAAAAAGCTGTAGCCATGAAAGGAGGCTTGAAAACCCCATGACAACAACAAAAAGTGATGAGAACAGCCATATGTGGGTCATATGAGACTATGTGGGACTGGTCAGAGGTACCAGCTTGAGAGCACTTGCAACTTCTACCCAACCCTCCTTTCTCACTCTAGTTGCAGTACTGTCCTTGTTTCCTGGCTTGGAGGAGTTAAGACAGACTTGGAAATACTGGAGGACAAGATTTTCTTCCCTGTATAATCCCCACTGCATTATTGCATGGTATCAGTGTCTCCCAAGGCAGGATATGGTCCATCTTTCTGTATTGGGAGTATGACACTCCCTCTCCTTGGCTGACTGAGAAGCCACAATCTGATTTTCCTTTCTAACTTCATTCACAGCATCTAAATACCTATTAGGATGGATGCTTTAATTGCTTAAAAGCCCGTGAGTCACGAGCTCCTGAACAGGCTTTAAATTTCAAGAAGAGAAACTACCCTGTAAATTCTCTCGTACTTCGGTGCGGATGGCTGGGGCCAAGCGGCCGAAGTGACCATGTTTGTGACGGGGGCGCGGAGCCCTGGCCGCGGGGGCTGTGGCGGACCCCCAGGCGCACCTGGCCCTACAGCAGTCCCGTCCCTGCGTCCTCTCCGCGCTGACCTACCAGAGCTTTTATTTTATGGCCGCCGCGTTGCTCGGCACTGTGGCCGCCCGGCACGCCGCGCTCCCGCGGCCCCCGAGCCCGGCCCTGCCGGACAGCGCGGCCCGGGACGCGGCTGCCCCCGCCCGCAGCGGGGCTCGGGCTCCCGTGCCGGGCGGAGGGGCGGGAGCGGGGGGCGGGACCGCGCGGCGCCGCCCCGGCCCCGCCGCCGCCGGGAGCCGGCAGATCCGGGTCTCGTGGCGCGGGCTGACGTGTGAGCCGGCCCGAGCCGCGGGGCCGAGCAGCGGGGCCGCCCCTGCCCGCCCGGCCGCCCTGCCCCTGCCCCCGCCCCGCAGCCCTCCGCGACGGCGGCCGGAGAACGGTGAGCGGGGCCGCCGTGGCAGGGCCGGGGAGGGCGCGGCCGGCGGTGGCCGAGGGTTTGCGCGGACATCCCCGCCCGACCACCGACCCTCCGTCCGCCGGGCGCGGCGCGGGCCGGGGATTGTCGGCGGAGTCCTGGTGGGGGCCGCGGGGTAACTTCAAGCCAGTTGAAGTGCAGAAACGTCCCCGCCGCCGGGCGCTTCGCCCGGTGCCAGGGAAGGTAAACACCGGGGGAGCCGGAGCCTCTCCACTCGGTGTCAGGCAGCTCTCCTTCTTTTCCAAACCAGAGAAACGTCGGCTTGTCTTCTTATCAGCTGGTCTGATTGTGGTTTTTCTGGTTTTTGGGGATTTTAATGCGAAGTGGCATTCTTCTGTCGATTCTCTTTTTTTTCCTTGAAGGATCTGTCTGATACTTTGAGCCAAAGAGGTTTACATTCTCTCTTTAAAGAAGCTGGCAGTGGAGTGCAGACACCAGGATATGTGCTCCCAGGCTGCTCCCTGCTTTACGAACAGGGTGCAGCTGAAGTGGAAAAGATGAAGCAATGTCATATGAAAGATAATCTCAGGCAAAGGATGGTATCACACTGCTGTTAATTTATTAAATATAGGATTCCTGCCAGGAGCTCTTCATGTATGCTCAAATATGTGATTCCTAGGGAATACGTGAAGAAGGGGTTTATTGGCCTTGGAGATTGCAAGATATGGTTATTTCTCTGCTGCTGCCACTGTGCTGGGCTCCCCAGCTGTCCTGCCCTGCAGCTCGACTGCTGCCTTCCATGGCAGTTCTGAGGCCTTGGCTAACCAGCGTGAATGTGGTGCAAGACCGACATCAAAAACTTTGGTTTCCTGACAAACACCTGTCTGCCTAGTCAAGTGTCTTCAGTTTTACTTTTTAGATTGTAGACTGTTTGTGTTTTAATACTGTCTGAACATCCAGATCTATGCAGATAAATAATCTTGAAAACCAACTCCATTTTTTAGAGGCAAGGACATCTAACATTTGGGTCTTAATAGCATTTTACTTAATGTTATTAGTGTGCCTACTGGGGAAGGTGTGTATCTTTAGTGAGTGTTAATGGGTTATGTATTAGAAGTCTTTAAATGCTTAGCTATTAGTGTGCTATCCACCTTTACTCATTTATTTTACATTCCAAAAGCAGACATAAGTTCAAAAAAATCAGAAGTGTGGGAGATCAGTTTTACTTTTTTATTTCTTCCTATATCCTTGATAATTTCTTCCAATTCCTGTGACTCAATGAGGTGAAAGAAATCAGTCTTTGATTTTTAAAAGTGACCCTGTCGCTGACAGTGAGGCTTGAAAGGGTAGAAGCAGTTTGCAAAATGAAATTAATTGTAATGTTAGCAATCATTAGTTGGTTCACTTCTAACCACTGTTCTTTCCCCTGCCACATCTTCGGTTCTTTTTGCCCTTTGTAAAAGACAAGATTTAAAATGTTTGCCTAACTCTTGAATGGTACAGAATTCTGTATTTTAAGTCATTTAAGATGGTTTTGTATAAGGAGCTAGGTAATGGCAAAGTTTTTTGTGTTTTTGGTAATTCCACGCTGTGTTTTTGCACGTGCTTCTCAGACCAGCAGGGACGTCCCTGACCTACTCCAGACCATAAGCCCCCATCTGCTGTAGAACCAAGATGATGGTAGAAGCGGTTTTGTAGCTCTGGATGCATCTTTTTTTAGCCTAGTTGGATATTATTTTGCTGACTATAGTAATAAATATAATAGACGAGATTCAATTAAATTCTTTATATTGTGCACATTGTGATGGTTTTGCAACACCTTACATAAACCACGATCAAGTCCATTAAGTTCCAAACTGCATGCCCCAGTTACATGAGCAATATTCTGCAGTCCATGTTCTTTTATTCTAAAGCAAAAATGAGAATAATACAATTGTTATTAAAGAAGTATTTTACATTTAAAGCAATTCATTATGTTTCAATAATTTTTAAACTATTCTACCTGCTTTCAAAAAGTTGGTATTTAGTTTTGGAGAAAGTTAGTTTCTAACTGACTTCTGGTTTTGTTATTAACTTCTCATTTCCTACTTTCATATATTTAAACTTCAGAATAAGTGGTGTGTGAATGTTATTTGCATAACAGATGTGTAATAAACCTGCGTTTGTACATTTAGAATTTTCCCTCCTAGATATTATGGGTACTTGACATACATTCTTAAAGACCAAGTTTTGTCTCTGCTGAAGTTTGTCATACCAGAATTTGACCTAAAAACATCATGAAACTTCACAGGGCCAGTACAATAAAAGTACAAGATCTTATCTTCTTATAAATGCTATGAATGACAAATGTCACAGTGCCCTGACAATACCAAGTATCAAATTCTTACTCTATGTTTTGGACCTTTATCACGGTCCTCATCACGACAAATATGAAAATGTTTTGGCAGGGGCATTTATGCGTATAAAGCTTGTTGTCATCTGGCCATTTTCTGCTTGGGGCACAGCTCAGAGAGCCTGTGAGCCTACTTTGCATACATGCTGTTACACACTCTGCATATTTGCATTTGCATCCCTGATATTACACTTGATGTTAAACATGCTTTCTGTCTTTCTGGGTTAGAGATTCAATTTACGAATGCGTACAGATCCATCTAGTTGTTAATGAGGCACCTGATTCTGCAAAATGCTAATACTTCTTGGAAAATCCAAGTACTCCCAAACCCTCTGTATGTACAGTGGAAGGCTCTGTCACAGAGCTGAATCTTGCAGTCCTTGTTCAGGTAAAAAAAAAAGGAATTATTTCTCCAGAAGAGCTCCTTCAGCTTGTATGCCTTGACTCATCAACAGGTAGCATCCCTAGTTCCCAATGAGCCTCATTTCAAGTAAGACTCCTTAGCTCCTCATTATGAAGGAATACAGTCAGGGACAGGAGAAGGATCAGAGTGTTTTAGCTGTGTTAGTCTTACTTCTGCTGACAGAGCAGTGGTTCTGCTGGCAGTAAGAGAAGAAATACGGTCCTATCCTCTTCCCTATTCCCACCACCTATTCCACACTACTAGCTGAGGCTGGGGCACGAAAAAGGTCCCTTAGTTATGATTGATAGGGCTTTTCATGAAAGATTTGAAGATGCTTAGGGGAGCAGCCCTTGGCATGATTGAGTGATTGTGGATTTGCATTGTTGCTAATTGAACAGATAAGCTTCAGAAGCTTTTGTTAAGCGTCTAACTGGTATTTTTATAGATAATTGAACAA